CTTTGGGTGTTACAACTTCCGAGCCGGAAGCTCTTCTTCTTGAAGTCTTATGGCGCTCTGGGACTCGCCTCTTAGCACTTGGGAAGTACTAGAGGTTGTGGGAGGTTTAGAGAGAAGTTAGAGAGAGAGAGAAGGGTTAAGGTATGAGGAAAATGAGTGAGCCTCGCATGGTATTTATAGGCTAAAAAATGGCTCAACTCGGTAAGTTCTGAGCCTCCAACTCATCGAGTTGGGTGTCAGGTGTCACCATCTGATGGTAAGGCATGGGGAGGAAGCAATGGCTCAAATCGTGTCACGCCACCCACTTCACATCCGGCTACCTCGACTTCTAAATTCTGTAACTTTCACATACGAGCTTTGTTTCGATATTATTTATATCCACACATAGGTTTTAACAAGATCTACAACTCCTTTTTTGATCCCATCGGCTAATTTTTGATCGATTTTAAATTTAACAATATGAAAAGATTACACTATTTAACGACTGTGTAAAAATCATAACTTTATATACGGATTCCTTTTCGTCTTTTTATCATTGAGCTCCTATTAATGAGATCTTCAATTCTCATTTAGGTTGTATCGGCTAAAAATTGATTGATCTAAAATTCAAATTTCGAGTTGTGTACTGCTATGCAAAATCTTAGAAAAATCATAACTTCGTCATATGAAGTCAGATTTGGATGTTTGTTTATGCACGTTCTCGGTTTAACATATACTACAAATTTCATTTAGGTCGCTAAGGTTAAAAAGTAATTTATCAAAAATTCACTTTTTACGTTACACGGTGTCGTGTTGGTTTAGCTGTAAAACTTTGACAGGTCATAACTTCTTTGTTATAACTCGAATTTTGGCGTTCTTTATATCTCCGGAATCCTTGTCACAACCACTACAAATTTCTTCATAGATATTGGGTTTATCTATTATTTTATTTTTGACGTTTATTTTGATTCTTAATTTATTATATCTTATAAATGACTATAATGCACATAAAAAAATCACATAATTCACATAATATTCAAGTAATTCCTCTTTATTAGTTCAAATTAGGTTACAACTTTTGACCCTAACTATTACATCATCATACTAATATTTAGCCTAGAAACAGAAACACGGGCGTTACAACTGTGAATTGATTGTATTAAGCTATAAATTAATTATATTAAGTTGTGAATTTTGTGTATTAAACTGTGAATTTATTATACTAAGCGAAGAATTTTGTTTATTAAATCGTGAATTGATTCTATTAAGCTATGAATTGGTTGTATTAAGCTGTGATTTTTTTTAAGAATTTTGTGTTTGCTTCGGAAATATTAGAAGAAAAGAATCATTATATACATATATGGTTTTCTCTATCTATAAATAAATTATATAAAATTTAAATTGTGAATACTATGTAAATTAAACTTTAAAAGAAACATTAGTCTCTGTACCTAAATGTATAAATGTAAGTTTTACGTTAAGAATATGACGTGTATGTGCATTAAACTGTGAAATTATTGTATTAAGCTTGAGTTTTGTGTATTAAATTGCGAAGTGAATGTATTAAACTGTGAATTGACTATATTGAGCTGTGAAAATTTTATAAATTATGTGTTAAAATATGAATTATTTATGTATGAATGTTTGTATTATTTTTTCTTATAAGTATATTAATTTTTTGTGTTATATATATATATATATATATATATATATATATATATATATATATATATATATATATATATATATATATATATATATATATATATATATAAGAATGTAGTAGTTTTTATAATTGTTTTGCACTAAACTCTAAATAAGTGAATTAATAGTTTTATTAAATTGTGAATGTAGTCTTTAAGATGTCAATACATGATTTTCTATACAGATCTTATTTGGAAGTAATGATGGTTGCAACGATGACACATGTAGTTGTTAGCAGTGTGTTGTAGTTGTTTGTGGTGGTAGAGTTTGACTTTAACTTCTTTGAAATTTTGAATTATTGTAAAATAGATTATATTAAGTTGTGAATTTTATATATTAAATTGTAAATGGATTGTATTAAATTGTGTAATATATAAATATTTTGTGTTATAATATAAATGAAAATATTAAACTATAAAAATTACGATTTTTGACATTTTCTTACCAAAAAGACAAAGAAAAAAAATCATGAGTTTTTCATATTTAATATGTATTCACATGTTTATTAACTATAAAATGAAGGTTCTTAGAGTTTTTAATATTTTTTGTTAGCATTTGAATCACTCCATATAATTTAACAATTCATTTTGGATATATATATATATATATATATATATATATATATATATATATATATATATATATATATATATATATATATATATATATATATATATCCCTCTTCCAAAATTACATTTCAAGTCCATAACTTAAAATAAATACAACTATTAGCTCCTAAGCTCCCAAATAACTTCCAAACCACCATGGTACTTATTAACTGCACCAAAATTAACAATGCAAAAATATAAAAGAAAAAGAACACTTAAATTTTTTAGATTGGCTTTGATACGTACTTTGGCCTTTTAACAAGATGTAACTCAAAAAAGATCAAAGTTAGCATCACATGAACTTGTCGGTTAGAGCTTTCTTACTTACCAAGCAGACCTGACCTTCATATTCCGGAGGCCTTATGCAAAATCAAAACGAGACCCCATAACAAATTTATTGTAAAATATTATTAAGTAAATTTTTTTATTGTTAAATTTAAAACATAAATTTGGTAACAAACAACTCGTAATTTCACTACCATAATATCAAGTGTTCACTCGTTATTACTTTTCTAAAAGAAAAAGAAAAAGGCATTAGTATTTTCCATATATCGATTGTCTAACATTTTAGAAGCAAATTTATCTATTACACTATTTAGAATCAATATTTTCAAAAAACTCTTTCTTAAGCGAAATAAAAGTTAAAGCATTTAATCTCTCTTCACGGTCGAGAGCAAATAAGATTTTAAAAAAGTTTAATTTTCAAAAGATTATTTCTGTAATACGAACAATCATGAATATTTTGTATGCAGATAAGCAAGTGGATCAGTGTTCATATATTTTTAATAAATTTAGTAGTGTGTTTTTTGTATTAAGGGCATCGGTAAATATTTTTGCAACAATTCTAGTTCCTTGAATAAATCATCAACATCGATGATTGATATGTAGCCATCTTGTAACATAATTTCAAGATTTTTTGCAACTTTTCTTTAACCCATCGAATTCAATTTTTCTGTTGCAAATAAGAAACCAAAAGTTTCTAATATTTTTTATATGATTCATAGATTTTCTCAGATTAACCAATAGCTTGATGAAATATGCACACACACAAAAAAATTATATTCACAAAATATTGATTCTTGAAACATATTTATATTTTTCTTTGGATATAGATAACTTCATTAAATTTTTTATAGATTTTAGAATTTATGATTAGATTTTGATTTTTTGATTTTTTTATAATTAAAATGACCTCAAGAGTGCAACCAATGCTATAGTGTGCATATAAGAGACCGACGACTAGGGATGAAAGTGGGTCCAAACCCGGACCGGATGGATCCGGACCCGGAAAACCCGAAACCGGTTAATGGGATTTTGTAGAACCGGAAACCGGACCGGTATATAGGAACCGATTTCGGTTCGGTTCCGGGTAAAGTGGGTCTAGAACCGGAAAACCCGGAAACAATAAAGTGGGTAGGTTGGAACCGGATAAAGTGGGTTTAGAACCGGAAAAACCGGAATTTTTTGGTAATTACCTACTACTTAGTGGATTAAACTTTGAAAATTTTCATATTGATATCCCGACTTTGGGGGACTGTAACTCATTGAATAAGAAACTAAAATTAACAAAAGTATAGTCTAAAATCATGTACAAACTTTAAAATACACTCTGAAAAAAACCGCATGTCAATCTGACTTTAAACAAATGAGATATGCATGTGTTAACATTTTCACATAATACAAAGTACAAAAACAAATTGCTGAAAAGTTGAAAATTTTCAGTTTTGATATCCCGAATTTGGAGGATTGTAAATCATTGAATGGTAAACCAAAAATGACAAAATTAAAGTCTAAGCTCATGTACAAACTGTAAACTACAAGTTGCAAAAAACCACATATCAATCCGACTTCAAACGAATTAGATATGCATGTTTTAAAACTTTCACCGAATACAAAAAAACAAAAAAAACTAAAAACTTCCAGCTTTGATATCTCGACTTTGGGGGACTGTAAGTCAATGAATATTAAACTAAAAATGGCAAATTTATAGTCTAAAAATATGTACAAACTCTAAACTACATGTTGGAATAAACCGCATGTCAATCGGAGTTGAAACGAATGAGATATGCATCTTTTAAACGTTTCACAAAAACCGGTTCCGGCCCTAAAAGTGGTTCCGGTTCCAAACACCGGTTCCGGTTTTTAGACCCGTTTTACCCGGACCCGATGGACCCAAACCCGGATTACCCGGAACCCGGATAAAGCCAATTTTTAAACCCGAAACCGGAACCGGTTTTATATATCCGGTTCTAACGGTTCCGGTTCCGGTCCGATTCCGGTTCTAAATCTCATCCCTACCGACGACCAATTTTATTTAATGATAACTTTTAAAAATATATTTTATGAATATATCTACACCATATACTCTCATAGACGTTTTCTTTTGGGACACTCTGATAATTGATATAAAATATTAATGTTATTGATTTTGAAAACAATTGTATTGATATTTCATATTTTGTTAGAATGATTTGATTAATTAAAAATGAAAATTTTGTTTGAAAATTTGGATCATTACAATAAGTTTTTTTAAATAAGCTTTGCCAAACACACTCTTAAATTAACATGCTGAAAAAAAAAAAATCTTTTTTATGTATATATAAATAATTAAATATACATTTTGAAAATGTAAATATCTATGTTAATAAGCATTACATAAGAAAAATGTGCATAATCGTTTCTTAGGAAGCAATAACACGGAACTAGGAAGAATAAATTAGAAGACAAAAACAGAACACAACCCACCGACGCGGGATCCGGTAATTTGGACCCCATCACGTTCTTCCCCCAAATTTACAACTCTCGCCCTCTACTCCTTTTTCAGATCAGATCCCACTCATCTCATCATGCTGTTTTCACACTCTCTCAAGCTCCAATAACTCCTCTTCAACCTCATTCAACTTCAAATCCCTACCATTTGAATTAATTTCACAAGAATTCGATACAATACAGTGTTGTTTTTGGCTGGATCTTGTGCCAAATGGCGGTCGTAGCACGCAGCGGCAGAGGCGCTGGCGGATCGGCGTTTTCCTCCGCCTTACGCAGCTTTTTTTCCTACCGGATCTTTGTGTCAGCTATGTTTACTCTTCTTTTCTTCGCAACTGCCTCTGTACTTTTCTCATCTCATCCTGCACATTTCTCCGATAACTCTGTAAGTCTTTCGATCGTCTTCAGCTGTTATTTGCTATTGTGAATGTAGTGTTTTCGTTATGTTACTATTTATGCAATTTAAGGTATGTTATGAGAGCTGCTTGTTAAGTTAACTATGGATCCAATTAATGATGGACTTTTCAATTTGAAATTGGCGTAGTATATACTTATTTTTGGAGCTGTTTGTTGCGAATTAGTTTCAGTTACATAATCTGAGGCCTTTACTTCCATCTTACTGAACTAAATCTGGCAAATGAACTCATTTCAATAGCTTATAGTATTAGATGATAAAACTCTCTTTTGTCCTTAAAGATAGTGGAAAGAGATGAGGATTTGAAGTTGTTTTGATGGTTTATATGATTTCTTAACAGGAAATACAAACAACTGGAAGAGCATACATGCACAGGACATTTCTTGCTTTGAAGTCAGATCCATTGAAGACAAGGTTGGACTTGATACACAAGCAAGCAAGTGACCATATTGTGCTTGTGAATGCATATGCTTCATATGCAAGAAAGCTTAAGCTAGAAATATCAAAGCAACTCAAAACTTTCAATGACATGGCACAAAACTTTTCAGATTTAGGTCTAAAACCAACCTATAGAACTGCATTATTCGAATCCGATGGAGCAGTAGATGAAGAAGTCTTGAGACAATTTGAAAAAGAAGTCAAGGACAAAATCAAGATTGCAAGATTAATGATAGCTGAAAATAAAGAATCTTATGACAATCAACTCAAAATCCAGAAGCTAAAAGACACAATCTTTGCAGTTAACGAGCTTCTCATTAAAGCTAAAAAGAACGGAGCTTTTGCAAGCTTAATTGCTGCAAAATCAACTCCAAAAAGTCTCCATTGTCTTGCAATGAGACTCATGGGAGAAAGAATTGCAAATCCAGAAAAATACAGAGATGAAGAACCCAAACCTGAATTTGAGGACCCTTCTTTGTATCATTACGCAATCTTTTCAGACAATGTGATTGCAATTTCTGTTGTGGTGAATTCAGCTGTGAAGAATGCTGAAGAGCCATGGAAACATGTTTTTCATATTGTTACAGATAAGATGAATCTTGCAGCTATGAAAGTTTGGTTCAAAATGAGGCCAATTGAAGGTGGAGCTTTTGTTGACATTAAAGCAGTTGAAGAGTTCACTTTCTTGAATTCCTCTTATGTCCCTCTTCTAAGGCAACTTGAATCTGCAAATCTACAAAAGATTTATTTAGAAAACAACACGAAATCTGAAAACACAAAGCATATTTCAATGTTGAATTATTTGAAGTTTTATTTACCAGAGATGTATCCGAAGCTTCATAGGATCTTGTTCTTGGATGATGATGTTGTGGTTCAGAAAGATTTGACTGGATTATGGAGAGTTGACTTGGAGGGGAAAGTCAATGGAGCTGTTGAGACATGTTTTGGATCTTTTCATCGATATGCTCAATATTTAAACTTTTCACATCCTTTAATTAAGGAGAAATTTAATCCGAAAGCTTGTGCTTGGGCTTTTGGGATGAATATATTTGATCTTGATGCATGGAGACGCGAAGGATTAACTGATCAGTATCATTATTGGCAAGATCTGGTACTTTTTCTTTTTCTTTTCAAAATAAATTACATAAATAGCAATTTATTTACATAGTTTACAATAATAATAACAAAATCTAACTTAAAACTTCTAAAATCTATAATTTCTTAACCAATAATTGCAACTTACTTACATTTTACCAGTTTCAGGTTATGTAGCTATTATGGGTAAAAATAATGTGTTTTTTAACCATAAATTAAAATAGCAACTGAATTACAAATATTTTAATGATAATAACAACATATATGATATATCCTCGAACATGTAACATGTAAGTAAGTTGTTATTATTTGTTATGAAATGTATGTTTGTTGTCATTACATGTTAACAATTAATTATATACATTTTATAGAGTAAATTACTAAAATCGTCCCTATGGTGTGGTCAAAATTGCACGTTTGGTCTCTAACTTAATGTATGTTAAGGACGAAAAACGCAACAAAATCAAACAACAGGGACGATCTGAGTGCAAAAAAAAAGTCAGGGACCAAACGTGCAATTTTGACCAAAGCATAGGGACTATTTCAGTAAATTACTCCATTTTATGATAAATGTAACAGTTATATACATTTTAATCTCATAAAAAGACCTTATAAAGTGTTTTTCCGGATTAAACCTCAAATTTATTTTTTTGCTTGAAAGAGACCTTATATTTTGTCATTTTTTCGATCTAGCCCTTTTAGTCATTTATTCCAAAAATAAAATTGTAAAATGTGAGGGTTTTTTCGAGAAAACTATAAAAGTTGAGGGTCTATTTGGAAGCATGTAGAAGGTTGAGGGTTTTTTTTCGAAAAATAAAGATAAAGTTAAGGTCTTTTCGGATAAAATGAAAAAAATACAAGGTCTTTTTCAGGCAAAAAATAAAGTTGAGGTTTAGTCCGGGAAAAACACAAAATATAAGGTCTTTTATGAGATTAACCTATAGTATTAATTGAAATCGTAACTACAATGCTATTATGGGGTGAAATCAAAATACATTGCCTTATATTGGTTAAAAAAACAAAGTACATTGCAATTTGTTACAAGAGTAAATTGCTTATATTGTCCCTATGGTTTGGTTAAAGTTACACGTTTAGTCCCTAACCTTTTTTTTTTTTCACTTGGGTTGTCCTTGTGGTTTGATTTTGTTGTGTTTTTCGTCCCTTACATACATAAACTTAGGGACCAAACGTGCAATTTTGACCAAACCAAAGGGACGAATAACGCAACAAAATCAAACCACACTGACAATCCAAGTGCAAAAAAAAGTTAGGGACCAAACGCGTAATTTTAACCAAACCATAGGGATGATTTCAGCAATTTACTCGTGTTACAAAAACAAGTAATCTTTATGTAATTTGGAATATGATTATCATGTAATTTGTTTATTTTAATGATTAGAATGAAGATGAGAGTTTATGGGATATGGGGACACTGCCACCTGGACTAATGACATTCTATTCAACAACAAAATCATTGGAAAAAACATGGCATGTTCTTGGACTAGGATACAACCCAAGTATAAGCATGGATGAAATCAATAACGCGGCTGTGATTCATTTCAATGGGAATATGAAACCATGGCTTGACATTGCTATGAATCAATTCAAGCATTTATGGACTAAATATGTCGATAATGAAATGGAATTCGTCCAAATGTGTAACTTTGGGTTGTAGACACGAAACAAAAACATCACCATTTTGTCCCTGAGTGAAAACAGAGGTAACCCATCAAAACCATATTCTCTACCATCCGTCGTTTTGGGTTCATCTTTTTTTTTTTTTTTTTTTTATTTTATTTTATTTTATTACTTTTGATTAGTTGTAACATTGTGGGCCAAGCTCTCCAGCTGTCCCGTTATTTATACACATGTCATCATAGTTAAAAGTGCTGAAATTATGAAAATGTGAATTACCTTTTATTTATAAATATTGAGTGTAAGATTAATGAAGAAGTTTTGTTTCACCCATATTTTGTTATATAAACTTGGAATATTTTGTAAGTGTTGTTGCATTTACGTTGTTCGTTTAGTAGTAAACCCAAACCATATGATGTATTTACAAGTAATATTTCTACATTGCCGATATATATATATATATATATATATATATATATATATATATATATATATATATATATATTGAACCGGCGAAAAATATATTTTATTAAAAAACTCAACCCCACCAACCAGTGGCTAGTGAGGTGAGGTTACAATAATTCAATTACAATTGAGCGGGTTTTTAATCCACAAACTTCAGTCTACTTTTATCCTGTCACCGTGATATTTAACCCAAATAAATGTTTGGGATTGTATATTAGAAACAATTCTCGCCGGTTGCCATTGAATTTTGTTGAAGATTCTATCATTCCTGGCCCTCCATAAACACCACAATGGGATGATCGTGGTTAACGTTTTCCTTTTATTGGGGCAATTTCCCCATTTGGAGGCGAAGTCAATCACGTTACTGACCGAATGGAACCCCGACACCTGGACATTGCACCAATTGAAGATCGAGAGAAAAATATCCTTTGCTAGGGGGCATTAGACCAGGAGATGTCTCTACAAACTCACGACACAAACCACATAAGGACGAGTCCATTACAATGCCCCTCTTTCGGAGGCCATCAGATGTCGCAATCTTGTTCAGTTTAACTCGCCAAACAAATCCCAAGACTTTCAATGGGATCAACTTTAGCCATGGGAACCTTCCGTCGCAAACAGGGAAATCTGCCATTTCGATCCTTTTACGTAGGAGAGCTACACAAAATTTTGCATTCACGACAAATGGAGATACCCACCCCCGGTACACCCGACTTCATTACCTCATCAAAAGGAATGTTTATTCTATCTAGGATGACTTTACATTTGACAATACTTCTCCAGACTCCATTCCAACAACTCCTTAGGCAGATGCCTTGTTGCTCTATATTTAAGTAATGCAACCCCTTGATGATCTTAACCCAAAGCGCATTTGGTTCGCTATTCAATCGCCATAACCATTTGGTGAGTAATGCGTTTAACGAGCGTATTGATCCTAGACCAAGACCAAGACCACCCACCTTTGTTGGAGCAATGATTTTTCCCCATGCAACCCAGTTGATATTCCTGTTACAATTTGGACCACCCCAGATGAACTGTCTTTGGATCTTCTCAAGCGAGTTAATAACCCCAATCGGGGCATTGTATATTGTCATAAAGTATGTGGAGATACTTCCAAGGACTGCCTTTGCGAGGGTGACTCTACCACCAAAACTGAGTGTTTTCGCCTTCCAACTTGATAATTTACTTTTTAGTTTCTCCATGACAGGCTGCCATGCGGCATTACGGTTCATATTGGCTCCAATCGGGACACCCAGGTAGTTGAAGGGGAGGGATGCATGTTCACCTCTTAGCCGACACGCCTAATTGTTCACCTCTTGCAATGGCGCTCCTAGACCATATACCATTGATTTAGTGAAATTTACCTTTAGGCCAGAAACTACATAGAAACAACGAAGGATCCTCGCCAAGTTGTTAATATTTTTTTTCAACCATTCCCCCAAGAATAGGGCATCATCTGCATACAACAGGTGGGACACACAAATACTGGAATTAGGAATGAGAATCCCATCAAATACACCTTTTGAGACTGCTGTCTTCATTGCAATATTCAACCCCTCCATTACAATTATAAACAGGAAGGGGGATAATGGATCGTCTTGTCTAACACCCTTAGATAATAGGAACTTTTTTGTGGGGCTCCCATTGATGATAATCGAGGCTCTCGCTGATTCCAAACAACCCTGATCCATGAGCGCCATTTAATGTGATGACACAATCAGATGGGGAACGTTTTTTTTTTTTTTTTTTAAATATTTTACAAATTCAGCTCTTTAATTTGTGTTTTGTTAGTTTGCTGAGTTTACTTAAATGAATGAACATTTACAAACTATTTTTCCGTTTTATTACATATCTATCGTGTGTGTATTTTTTTAAAGAAAACCATCAAAAGCATGGATTTATATCATGTTTTGAGAATAATGTTAACTTTTTTTATAATGTGCCATTTTTTATGTATTGTTATTTTCCGTTAAAGTTAAATAACATTTCCCATGATAACATTTAGGTGCAACAATGATTATGATATATATTGAAAATTATAAATTTAGTTTAATGTTAGATTTTTTACATGAGTCGTTTTCGCGATTTTATATTAGGGATTTTCTAATATGTACCTTAAGAACACATATAACAATCATAAAGTATTACTTATAACAAATATGATTATTATGTTTTGTATCCCTCTAGTTCCCAATTATTAAAGAATAGTGCTTGATTGGAGTATAAAATTCAGTTATTAAATTTGTGTTGGGCATTCTAAATTTCGCAACTTTTTTTTTTTTTTTTTTTGTATTTAATAAGCACATAAATACATATATTTGTTTAATAACAAAAAAAAAATTGTTTCACAATTCTTGTTTTTAATAATTGTCTTAAAAAATAAAATAATTAAACCCGGTTTAAAATATGCCCAAACCCGAGACGATTTATGCTAGGCTTTGTTTGGTCGGGCTTTTTAGTCTTAAGACTGGGCATTGTTCATTTTATGTCCAGCCCAAACGCCCAACAATTATTTAATGATTATTTTCCAAATAATTAGTAAGTGGTTATGTTTGACAATAAGATTATCTCCAATCGTTATACTCTTTTATGATTTAAAATAAATTATATATTATCATTCTTTTAACCTTGACATCTAAATAAATGAATGCTCCAATGATTAAATTTATTTACATGGTTTTGTTTTTTCATAAATTTAAAAATTTATCCTCATCTTTTTAAAATGTTTTATAAATCTTTCTCATTTAGTTAATCTATTTTTAAACACAAATAATATTTTAATATGAGTATATAAATACCAATATATCGGTTCATTATTTATGTACACAAAATACCAAAAATTATTATGTTATAGATACAAAAATAAAATAAAAACATTGAAAATATTATATCATCGTTATAAAATTTATATTTATAAATAAGATGTTATTAAATAGTTAGTATGAATAAATAATTAGTAATGGAAATAAAAAAAATATTTAAAATTAAATGATAATTAAAGTGTAAATTGAAATATGGTTAAAATATAAGCCGTTAAACAAGATGTGAAAATAAATTGACCAAAATAAAAAGCAAAAAACCTCAAATAAAAAAAAATTGAGATGCTCTAATAATTGGTTATGTTGACCGATATTTATACCCTCTAATTTAACATATTTTTTTACGAGATTGGTTGCTATAATGTTCATATTTATTTGTTAAATTTTGATCTCGAAGGAAAATATTGAGTACTAACATTCACTCGTTATAAGATCCCAAAACTAACTTGTCTAAATGCAGGGAAATCATCGACAAAAAAAAAAAAAAAAAAAAAAAAAAAAAAAAAAACCGTATGTGAAACACTAAATGGGATGATGGTTGACATAAATCTTTAGATAACATAATTTTGCACATTCTACTTATTCGAGTAATTGTTTATCATAGAAAGTTGGAGTTGAGGTTAGAATATTTGGAAATCACTAAGCAATGTCAAACTTCTGATAGGTTCAGCTTTTCGTTTACAATCTTTAAATCTTTCGCATAAAACAAGTTCATTACACTTTTATTCTTCAAAGTCGTAAGGAATTAAATCCTAAATATCTTCGATCTTCCATCAAATGCATAACCTTTTATTTTCGCTTTTATAAAACAAAATGCTATTAACTTTCACATTCTTCAATCATTGACTATTAAAAAAAATCATTTTTCAAATGAAGTAATTTACCCTTCCTACTTTCCTTATTAAGGGATATAATTTGTACATAACATTTTTTCTTCATATATAACAATTATGTTTTATACGTTTGTAAAATATACAACATTTTAAAACATAATTTGTTGTATACGAAAAAAAACTATTGTGTAATCTAATTTGTTGGTTTTAAGCATATACGCTATTTATAAAATAAAAAAAATTACTTAATAATAACATTAAATACAATCAACATACTAAAATAAATACTTGTAAATCTATAGTTTATATTTCACTTTTATGTAATCGCATAACATTACATACATATATAATTTAAAATAAAAGAAAATGATTAGCATATCATAAGACCATTTGGAATTCAATATTTAATATTAGAGATGAGTTTTAAATGTTAAATATAATAAGGAGCATAACATAGAATATTACTGAACCAAGAAGGTTGAGTGTACAAAATATAAAACTTAAAAAAAGATTTAGCATAATATTGGTTTGTATTATTGACCTAAAAAGGAATATGATAGAAATTAAGGAGGTAGCAACTTGGCTGGTTTCTTTTTCCTCGTATAGGTGGGGAAAGAAGTTTGAGTGGGTTTCAAAGGTTTTACATCACTTAAGCTTTATTTTAGTCGAGGTTAAGGGATTGGCCAAGTCCATACGTGCGTCTAGCCAGGTGAAAGACGGAAGAGGTGAAGTTCTTAAAATGATGAAATTTAGGTACAGCTTGCAGTTCACACGCCATATTCGGAGCTGAGTAGTTAGATATATATACATGAGCCAGATGAGTTATTTCTTAGTCGAGAAAAAAAAACATACATGTATAACTCACAACAACAGAGATCGAGATTATTGCCTTACAAGAAGCAGAAAAAGCGGCAAACTTGATT